CACGCCGATTTCAGTAGGTTCATACACCAATAATTCAATTACATTCCGCCAATAATCGGCTGCCAATGTTGGGCAGTATGCTATCCTCATGCATGGAGTTGGGAGACAAAAACCCCCCGAAGTTCCTCCTTCTTCCCAAGTGGGATAAAGGGCCAATTTAATGTATGAAATAGTTGGGGGCGATCGAACCCTTGCTTGTATGTTTGCGTCGTGCCACGCGGGCTTGTTAATCTCAAACTTGGGTAATTAAACTTCATGTAACGAGGAACGATTAACACAACATCGGCAAAGTAACAAAAATGTCGGCAAAAATAACATCTTCTGAGTACCGGTAAGAGTTATGAGGCAGAGACCAACATTGAGTATCAGAATAATGAGCGAACAACACCATAACAATATAGGATTAGGCACAGGTCATTTAATAACCGCAGTGAGGAATAAAGAATGCTTCAGAACAAAACCGCTAAATAGAGTGAGAGGAACAGCTAAAACAAGAGTAAGCTTCGCAAGAGGGTAGGCATGGGTAATGGTAATCGCAAACTCTGAATATCGCAGTATCGCAAAAGCTATCGGGAGGGCGCGGAGAAGAACTGGGTTCTCGATGTCCCTCGAGGCTCTTTTATAGCGCCCTTTGGCGCGCGATCACGATCATAAGGTGACCGCTCCTTTGACTGGCTAATCAGACGATCGGTCGATGACATCGCGGTGTTTCCGCGATAATGTATGTGTGTAGGTAAAAGTACACATTCTTACCATAAACTAAATATATCTGTTAGGTTGTCTCAAAAGTTCGTGCATATTTTTGGATCTCATGCCACAAGCTCATCATCAATTTCTAATTTTATCCACGTAGTCTTTGGAGAGGGCACAACGTGTAGTAACTCCTAACCAATATGCCCACCCTAGTCGCCTTCTTCGAATTCAAAGTGATAAAAGAAAAGAGCCACGCTCTGACTATGACTTTCCTACTGAGCCAAAAACTGATTGAAGTTAGAAGTAGCATCTGCTTTGCGATAGACCTTTTCGGCATTGCCAGCCACGAGGTAGAAATGGGAGAAACTCTTTTGCTTAGGAGGCTACGGGCGGAAGAAGAGCCCTCTTCCAGAAAGGCCATCGGTGTGAATTTGGGCAGGCGGCGCCCTCTCGGCGTCTACATGGTGCAACCTGGTATGTACTACCACACCCTGATGTTTTAGATGCGCTGCTCGTAGAGGTTCTTGCTCCTTCGTAAAAGGGTTGAAGCTTTGCCAAAGATTCCCTCATGAATTGACCACCGATGACAGGAGTGCGACACGAGTTCCGTCTATAATTTGTTTCCTACTCCACCCGTACGCCCTGGTTGAACAAAGCCGCTACTGCAGTTGAGAAGCTCAGGTTTCATGACAACCACACCTAGAATCGCCAGGGGCTGGATCGAACAGAAGAGGGTGAAAAGTGAACAAATTCACCACAAGGGCAAGGCCTTCCTCTTTTGGGCTTGTTAAATCAACCACCGGACTCTCTCGCTACAACTACGAAGTCTGTAAGGTCTAGTGTGATCAACAGCAGAGACTCAAACATCTCGCCTTAAAACTCGAAAAAGTGTGCCAGCTCAACCGAGGAAAAGGACAACCGAGGAAAAGGCTTTCGAAAAAAGCTATCAAAGCTTAGTTGAGGAGTCCCGCCGTATCCTTCGTGCAGCGGTGATCAGCCTCCTTTCCGAAGGACATCTGCCTTCTTGCTCAGCAATCATCTTGCGAACAAAAAATACGATTCTCCATAGGCACCTCGAAATCGACCTCACTGCCTTTTTCAGCTCATAACTGCCAGCCTTCTGAGAGTTAAAGGAATCTTCCACGGAAAAAGCTCCGCCCTCATTACCACAGAAAACGATACCTTAAAGGAATCTTCCACGGAAAGAGTGATCATTTTGTCTTGTGTGTAGGATTAGTATTATCGAAACTAACGCTTATGTTCCGTTCTTTTTGCTATGCTCATGAGGCTAGGGGCCTAAGGTATCGTTTTTCTGTGGTAATGAGGGCGGAGCCTTTTCCGT